ACAAATACAACCTCCTGACCAATAATTAAACTTGTTCCTGAGGTTTTGGGGCCCGGGGGCGTAACTTAGGCCGGTCGGTATGGAACACAAACAACATCTCTGTTACTTCAACTGTTTCATGTCATTGCATCTGCACTCCATGTTGTCCTGCTGTGTTCTGGAGAAGCTGGAGCTTCATACAGCAGTTTACTGACGGTCCTCCTGAGCGAACTTTGCGTCTCCTCACTCTTCACAATGGGATACCTAAACACACAGTACACCTTATTGGTAAAGTTATTCAGACGACACCACATTATTCCCTCTGCGTGTTTGTTTTTGAGGAAAGTAAACTCACTGTGAGATGTTAGACCAACCACGGCATTACCGCCTCCCCATGAGAGCAAAGGTTTACCCCTTTTTTCTCATAACTTTTTCACATTAATTGCTAATATTTTGCTGAGTCATGGGTCCCCAGAGGTTGAACCCTAATTTTTATGTGATCCCCTGACTTTTTCTCTCGCTGCAATCTTACGTTGACATTATTTGTTTAATGTCTCAACAAATTATTGGCGGAATGTATAGGAAATTGGCTATAAATGGTAATGGACTGTACTTAATAGCGCTTTTATCCAGTCTTTAAGACCCCTCAAAGCGCTTTACATACTACATGTCATTCACCCATTCACACCCATTCATACAGAGCAGTGTACCTTACTCTAGGACCTAACATTCACACACATTCACACACCGTTGGCCATGCCATCGGGAGCAACTCAGGGTTAAGTATCTTGCCCAAGGATACATCGACATGTTGACTGCATGGGCTGGGATCGAACCCACAACCTTCTGGTTGAAAGACGACCCCACTCCCTCACAGCCACAGTCGCCCCTGTACATATACTTCAAAATGATTGTTTTGCATCAGCATTAGTTGTAATTTGTGTCATTGCTAACAAGCTTATGATGATATGCAAAACCCAGCCAGTCCACATGCTAACCTTTGTACTTTCTAAATCAAAGCATATTGGCATTCGACTTGGACTGCTACCACTGCATGTCGTAATGAAAGTAAAATCATTTGTATGCTCCTTTGCTAAGATATCTTTCCAGGAAATCCAATGAAAGTATAGTAATCCAATGCCATTTAAATACAAATATATATTTCTTGCTAGATACGTAGGGTTTCAATTCCTGTCTGAAATTCAATTTTTACAGATCACACGTTTTTTACTTTATACAGTAGTTCAGTTGGCTCCGGAAAGTATGTTCTTGTTCCTTTTAAATTATGCAGTTCTCCTGATTATCATTCAATGTGTCATATCAGCAAAGTAGTTCCTGCCGGGTTTAGTAAGCTACATACAGCTTTTTGACATCACTTCACACACTGCGGACTACGGAGAGGGGTGGTCATGTTTAGAGATGAATCACTTCTAAAGTCACACAGAGCACCTTAACCAATCAACCTTGAACAGCCTGCACATGCTTCTTATGTCACTGTGATTGAGCTTAGGTAATTTCTCCAAATCTCCAAATATGTCTTTCTAAATTATTTTGAAACACTTCATGATCACTCTATCTTTGAGACTTTATGTACATGTCCATACCTTCCTCTTGATGTGTTCCAGCATGTGTTCATGACCCTGGAGGAAGTACAGATGTTGGAACTCTGTGTCGTCTCTCTCAGGCTTCACCAGACCGCTCTGCTCAATGTTCACCACCTTACGGAAACCATCTAGACACACACATTAAAAGCATAAATATACACAAACAAAGTATAAATACTGCTGTTGAGAGAAGACTATAGAGGAGGTGAGGAACGTGTACTCACACATGTTGAGCTGTCGGACAAAGCTTGCCATATTATTGTGTTTGAAGTACTTTGGCAGAACTTCCTTGGCAAAGCGTCCCTGGTCAAACACATGGAAACTTGTCCCAGACTGAAACAGAAAATAGCCAGGATTTGTATTATTATTAAACAGCTGTGATCACATACTTGACATACACACATACACTTCACAAACTTTTTTATCTCCATTCTAATGATAGGTTTTAATTTACAATCAACACAATGTCTTGACTTGTCTGGTTAGTCGGTTCCTGCTTATTATTGCTCAGTAGGGATGTAACGATATACCGAATATCGCGGTATCTCGATAAATAAACGTCCCAATACCGTCGTGAGACTGACAAAATCTACCTGCCACCCATGGCCAAAGCATATCTCTCTGTCCCACTGAGGTGGCGTTAGACTTTTTCGCTGTCCGTCATTTTGACAGACAGGATCGTAAAATATCCGTCATAATCCATTATTACCCGTCGGGTCTGAACTCGCCACTAACGGAGAGAGAGAGAGAGAGAGAGAGAGAGAGAGAGAGAGAGAGAGAAAACTGCCACAGTGCTACAGATGAAACAATGAGTGAGATGTAGAGATAAACAGTTGACATCATTGTTCCAGAAAGATCAGCCTGTTGGCAGAGTCCCTATGCAAGTGTGCATGGGAGGCTATAGAGGGGGGGGGGACAGAGGGGGGGACGTGAATAGTGACAGAGCCACGGTGGGATGGGAGAAAAAGGCCTATAAATGTGGTGCAATGGAGCACAACAGCACCCATTTCGGACCAAGTCAAACCAAGAGTCTGCCTAACCAACGTTTTTTACTTTTCTCTGGAAACGCATCATGGATATCCCCATCCAGTATCCCTGGTACCGTAGGGCCTTCCCACATCGACTCTCCGATCACTCCATGGCAGAACCTCTCAGTGATTGGCCACTTTTCTGGCCCTTCCCCTGGTCCTTCAACTTGATGCGCCCTTCATCAATGCGCTGGTTCAACTGGCCCGAAAATGGATACAGTGAGGTAAAGTGAAATTATCCTGTGTCCGAATTTACATTTTCCTTAAAAATATCACGACTATATCTCGTAAAACTTCTTATATGTCAATAAGTAATGTTCTGCAGTTTAAAATGATGTGACGGGCCAGTAGATGTATTAAATGCACATACATCTTTAGAATATGAGATTTGTTATGGTTTCACATTATTCAAATATGACACTGAAGAAAATCCTCTTTAGTTCCCTGTATGTTTATGAGGCTTGCACTGCTTAAATACAAGCTAACTGCTGCTGTGTTTTTATAGATGCGCATTGAAAAGGATCGCTATGTCATTTTACTGGATGTGAAGCATTTCTCCCCCGAAGAGCTGTCTGTCATTGTCAGTGACGGATCCATCACTATACACGGCAAACATGAGGGCAGACAGGTCAGAAGGACGTTTAGATAGAGATCTACAGAAATAGTCAAACAAAAATCTATTTGTTGACAATTTACTGTTATTTTTGTTTTCCAGGATGACCACGGCTTTGTGTCAAGAGAATTTCGGAGGAAGTACAGACTTCCTGCTGGCGTGTTAGGTGCCAACGTCACCTCCAATCTGTCCTTTGATGGTATTCTCACCATCACTGCACCTCGGTCATCTTCCGGCCCTGAGCACCCTATTCCTGTTTCCTGTGAAAATGGAGAACCTAAACAGAATATCTAGAGCGGAGTGACGCTACTCATAACTATTAACCCCAAGTGCAGCCTGTTTTTATAACTAACTTGTTTCAGTAGTTTCATAGTGCACTTATGCAGTAGGCAGGGGATACAGGGTTAGATGGCAAGTGCCTTATAATTATTTTGAATCTTATTTTAATTCTAACTCACTGTTACTCTAATGTCTCTGTCAGACAACGGTTCTTTTAAAACAAAAGCTAAATGACTATATTTGACAAAGTGTTGTATAGATGTACATACACCTCTGTGACAAGACACATTAAGGGTGATGATCATATTTGTGAAGCAATTTCCTTTAGCATTTCCAAATGTTATATAATCTCTGTGTTGCTTAGTGATACAAAAATAGTTTGTATGGTTGTAACCCTGCAGCTCCCTTTTAGTGGAAATTGCAAAAGTAAATTTTAGGGAGTGGAATTCCAATACTTTTTCAAAATTGTCCAGTGAAGATGATAAAAGACAAAAATTGTCAAACCTATTACATTTACAGTAGACAGTACTTTCTGAGTAGGTATGCGTAAGATGCAAACTGTGCTTTGTTTATTATTTTAGAATAGTGTTGGTTTCTGTATGTTTCAGGGAGGAGGGAGTTCTCTGGAAGCATATGCAGTCATTTTTAGTTTGTTCAATAAATGACACCAAAGGACTTGGGACCAGGTGTGTGCTCGTTGAGAGGATGACGTGTGTCAATGAGCAGGAGGGGAAAAAGGGGACTATGGAGAAACTGATGTTTGGAGGGGGACAGATTTGATCACTGGGCTCCTTTTCTGCTGAGGAGCATTGCCTCTGAGCTGCTAAGGAAAGTGTGTGTGTGGATGGATGTATGTGAGAGTGAGTGCATATGTAGATGCAAGAGTTACAGATAATTCCTTCATTTTGGCTAAAACCCTCTGGCATATTAACACAGAAAACAACAAATAGAATAAATGTTGATACTCAAAATCACATCTCTGCTTTGTGTTCTTTTTTTAATGTCTTTTTTTGAAAGGTATGTCAAAACAACACATGCATACAATACATTTGGAGAGAAGCGGAATCATGATTAATGTATTTGCAGTGCAATGCATTTGTCCTCTACTGCAATATAGTCCCCTTTAATAATAAAAATATTATATAGAAAGCATCATATATTTTGTAGACATTTTCTAGACAGTTGTCGCATTGGTATTTATTTTGTGATGCGAAAACATCAAAAACAATGGAGCACAAATTACGTGAATCAGAAGAATGCGAAACAGATACAATCAGAACGATAGAGTATTGCAGAGAGTAAAACAGACATAGTCCAATATAGAGCGTTAAGCAGCAATAGCCCTTCGTAGCGCTTTGACATTTTCATTATGATCACAATCTAGAATCATATTTTGTTGTGCCATATCTTCTAAGGTGCAGGTTATCAACAGTTTGGATAAGCAAAACTACATATCAACAATCGGTGTAAGATCAAAAAATATGTTTGTCTTGGACAAACAAAGTTTATTACCATGTTGTTCTCTTTGTTGGTAAATGCAACATTAGTTGCAGTAGAAGTCCCAGTTCTGAAAATAAAAAGAGAGGCAGAATTAAAAGAAAGCATCACTTATTCTTGTTGAACTGTATGAGTGTGTGTTAACCTACAGTAGTCTCGACTTCGGTGCTGGCTGGCATGAGGGGATGGGTCTCCTCCACTACGCTGCTTGGGAAGTGACCAATGCGAGCCTCCTGCTGTCCGTAATAGGAGTCTTGTACCTGAAAACAGATCAAATCGATTTAAACTTGACATGGAGAGGGATACAGCATGACTTTAACAAAGACACAGTGTTTTGGTTTAGAGCTGTGTCAAAGCAAAAGCATTTTTTTAACTTACACTGCCAGCCCAGAAGAGGTTCCCTCTGCCTCTTAGCATTGCGTAAACATAGATGAGCTGGCCCTGTCTGATGGGGATGAATCTGCAGTCTCCAGGGTAATAGTCCTGCACTGCACGAGCTATTAGGATAGGATCTGTACAGGATGTATTGTAATGCACATTAAGAAAGCTTAGCATGTGTATTATCATATCCATTCTACCTACTGTACTGTTATGTGACTGTCAATAGCAGCAAAATTAAGTTAGTGAGCTACTTACGGCTGCATTCGGAGTCAGCGCAGAGTTTCTTTTCAGAGAGTTTAGGCATCTGCCTTCCAGCTTCAGAGGTGGGCAGCAAAAGCCACACTGAAAAAGCAAGCCAGAGTTTGCAATCCATGTCTGTATTTGAACGCACCTAATGATCCAAAGGTCTTGTTTTAAGCTTAATAAAAGCTTGTGGGCTTTCTGTTCTGTTTGCTGTCTCTGAGAAAGAAGAAGGTTACATGGATGGCAGTCCCTTTTTCTACTCTCCCTACCCCCTTACCTCTTACACAAACACACACAGAGCTCCTTTCAAACCCTACAAGCAGGTAAACAGGATGGGGGTGAGGAGGAGGTCTGGATTAGACAGACCCCTGCTTGTGTCCTGACCTTCCCCTCTCTCCACCCCTCACCCTGTGTCACCCTTGCTCAAACAGCAGAATGTAAAACTTTGTAGAAACACATTCCTCTGAAATAATCTGTGTTTTCCATTCGTTCTTCAGCCACTAGATGTCAGAACATTTTTGCAACAAACATATGACTTTGTCCCTCAGAGTATTCCTCTCCCTGGTTCCCTTCCTTTACCTTTCCTACTCTAGGAGGAGGAGCCAATGGCTGTATTTACATACTGTATGTTTCCACTGCCAAGGAAACCAGCTGAGCCTCTCTTGTGCAAACACTCCCAAACACAGTCACACAAACACTCACGCATACACTCACCAAACAGGAAGACTATACCTGTTGGGTGTGAGTTGGCCGGGAACTGTCAGGTAAGACAGACTTACATTTTTTTTCCTCCAGAGTTGAATAATAGAGATCTCTTGATGAAAAGGGTTAATGTTTAGAGGATAAGTACGATTAGTGTTCTTTTGTAATTATGTATAACAGGAATACAGCATGGTTTCAAGGTAGTTCTTTAGGTGAGATGCCAGATTGTGACGTCAAATGTAAAGATGAATCATGTGGGAGGCTAAAACTTCAGAGTGCAGCTACAGTGTGACCAAAATGTAGTTTAAATTGACAAAAAGATGTCATCATGTTTTGGTAGCAATCAAGTGTTAATTTGGGTAAAACATCAACAACGACAACAACCTGGACTTTAGAGACCTGAGACTTACTTCAGAGACATATTTTTAGGACATGGAGCACATTACCTTTGGAATTTAGGGAGGGGAGTGAAACAAAGATTACAGGGGAGCTGGTATTTCGGTCAGAGTAACAAAAGCACCTGTTGGACAAAAGACCTCCTTCAAGGCAATGTGAGATTGTATTACTAGATAACAACTAAAGCTGTCATGCATGTCCTGATTTTCACAGTTGGCGTCAATACATCGGTTTGTTGTGGTTTTCTGTGCTATTAATGGACTTTTCTTTCCGATAGTTTTATCAACAAAGAAGACAAGATTTGAACATCATTAGGATTCTTGGAAGCAGACATATCTGGATTACAAAAGTGAAAAATCAAACTCCTCAATCCTCTCTGGACCCGATCGTCAAGTTACAGAAAAAGGACTCCTGTTTTTTCAGAAAGAAAGATATCATGGCGGTCCACCTGCCACCTGTGTGATAACAAGTCCAATATCTGGGACGATGATTTCTATCTAGACCCACAACACAAGACTGCAGCTATCAACAATGTTCACCCCTAGAAAAAGCAGCCTCCCGTCCCCCAGCCTGGAGGACTCCTTCTTCCCTCTCTCCTCATCGTCCTCAGTCTCCCTTTCCTTTGCTCTCCCCTCATCCACATCCTCCCTTGGCAGCAGGGACAACGGAGAAGGGATAGAGACGGATCTGATACTAGCTGCAGAGCTGGGGCAGGCTTTACTGGAGAAGAATGAGGAGCTGGCAGCCTCCTTGGAGCAGAGGGAGAGAGAGACGGAGGTAAGGATAAAGCTGCTGTAAGCAATGTTTCCTGTGGCTGTGCAAACACTATATAGTTATTGTGAGATGGGAAGTAAAGGAGCACAAACATGTTTTAACATAGAGAAGCATGCATGACATTTAAGTAAGTCTAGATGTAAGAGCAATCATACATGTGGACAGCCTTGTAAGTCTGTACATAATTAAGATCAAAGTTTAATTTATGCTTCCTCAGATAATGGAAATGACAGCTCTCACATCCTATTCAACCAGTGCTGATAACAAAATCTTAGGATTTAAAATGTAGTTTTTTGAAACGCAGATATTAACAACATCCTAATGTATTTTCCTGAGCAGTAAAACAAGAGAGGACATGTCACAAAGAGGTCACTGAGGTCACATTTTTTGCATTCTTTTGTCTTTACATACCACATAGACACAAAACTATTAGACAGAGGACAGCAAAAAGAGTAGGAGAGCAGAGGAAAAGTTTGTGGATGGATATTTAGTTATTCGTATTATTATATATAATGGTAGTAGCGATGGTAGTATTATTTATTTTTTGTTTTGCACACTGCTTGTATTCTGTAAGTTTCTTGGCTGTTACTAAAGATACATCCTGCAGGTATACACTACATAGATATAGAGGTATAAATCTAGCTGTCAGTTTCAGGGACAGATTTACACTACAGGCACAAATCTGTCTCTGATATAAAGCAAAAATAACAGGCTTTTTCCACCCAATATATTTTGAAACTTCATAGCAAGAAAAGATCAGGTTTAAAGTAAACAGTACACAGTTCTGTTTTTCAAGAACCAGCATCTAATCATGTTGTCTCTACACACTTATACGGCCTGGAAACTCACACAATTGCAGAGATCACATGAAATGACCAAGGTGTATTATTATTATTTATCTTGCTTGATCCCAGTTAATGTTGCCTCTATTGTCTCAGGCTTTACAGCAGGAGAAGCATGTTCTGCACAGGAAGCTGGAGATCAATGAGCTGGTGTCTGGACAGAGAGAGGCAGAGCTGACTTCAGATTTAGCTGCTTTGAGGGCAAATCTGGAGCAACAAAACAGCCAGGGGCGCGACCGGAGAAGGGACGAGAGTGAGCAGCTGACTCAGTTAGCCAATCATAACCAACGCCTGGTGGAGCAGCTAGCAGAGGTGGGTTTATATCAGTAAACAGGCAGCCTTTACCCTGCCTTAATGAGCTGCTAACCCACAAAATAAGTCATTACAAGTATGTTTTAATGCTGTGACATTTAAAAGAATGTAAGTGTGTGTATGTGCAACCCAGTCTCATGGCATTTCGTGTGGGAATTGTCTGCATATGTCATCACAGTCACGCAGACAGAAAAAATGCAGACCAGCAGGTTCATTGAGGCCCATCTTTGTCTCTTATTGTAACAAAAACATTTCTCAACTTTTTTTAATCTACCACCCACTTAGGCGGTTACACTTGAGCACTCCTTAAGGACTGAGCTTCGTTCCATCAGAGAAGAGATGGATGAATCATCGTTCAGCCGAAATATCAACTTCACACAAATAGAGAACATTCAAGCAGAGGTAAACCTACCAGTCACTTCTGAATGTACATTGCACAAGAAAATCAATGATGAAGTAACTGAGGTGGTTTGAGTGTGACAGTCATAAACACATTGTGCTGTCTTCAATCGATAGTAACACGTAGCAAAAAGTATTACATTTCAAATGTCCAAATTGTCTGAAATTATAATACAACATGAAAGTAATGAGAGCTGTTTTTAAGTATTGGCATTTGAAGGCCAAACATCTAGCTGTCTCAAATGTTATTGTTTTGGTATTTTATCATGTCGAAAAGTTCTGTTTTGAATTCTAATCATAGGTCATTCTTTAAGGAGACCAGTCTTTCAAAAGCCAAGCGGAAATCAGATCTCAAGATCTCTCTCTCTTAGACTCAAATATAACATCCTTGAGGACTTTAATTTTACATATTTAATAGCGTCAAAATGTCACTAGTGTAAATAATAACCACTTTATTTTACCTCTGTCATTGCACCATTCATTTAGTATTTTGTTTTAAAAAATATATTTTTCTTCTTCCCAATACAGAACAAAGTTTTGCTGGAGCGGCTTTCGCACATGGATGCTCAATTAAGAGCTTCACAGGAGGACAGCGATAGACTCCGCATGGAGAGAGAGAGACTGAGAGACAGACTGTTAGAAACACAAACAAACCTGAAAGAGAAAGAGGCAGAGGTGAGGATGGACGACTGACTGTTATTTAAGATGACATTTTGCGTTGAAAGATGAAGGCTGAAGGAGCCGGAGGTGAAATCATGTGCTGCAAGGAGATATTTACTTGTCAGAATTCATAAGGGACACCTAGTTTGAAGTTCTTGACCTTTAAGTGTGTGCGTGCACCAGTCTCTTACTGTATCTGTGTGTCTGTGTGTGTGTGTAGATAGAGCAGGAGCAGGGAGTGGTGTTTGAGTTACGAAGCGTGAATCGCTCCCTGCTGCAAAACAGTCTGAATCTGGGAGAAGACAGCTTTCTGGACAGTAGACAAACAGAACCTTTATCTCTGCATAGTGAAATTCAGCAATCACAGGTACACACACACACACCAAAAAAAACCTTCTTATGTCCTTATGATAGTTAGAGACTGATCCCTACTGGTTTTTCAAAAACCGAGCCTCTTCAAACCCAAATTTGCATCTAATGCCTTGACACCAATAATAAGTGTTCTGACCTTGCTGAGCATTCTATCTGTTGTTTTTATCTCTCCTTCCAGGCCAAAGAGGCTCTTCTCGCTCACTCCACAGTCCTGCAAGCAAGAGATGAAGAGATACAAGCACTCAAAGAGGAGGTCTGTTGATCAACCACACATACACCTTTCATAACCCAATTTCACTTGGTGATTGACCTGCGAAAATACAATACAGACGTCTGAATGGGTTGGTTTAGAAATGGGTGTACATACATACGTGCTACTATGTATACACAGTGGTTCCCAACCTGGGGGACGCCAAAGATCGCAGGGGGGGCGCCAGGCCTCAGATGATTTGAGGCCAAATATCACATTTAGACTTTTTAAAAAAAAAATGTTTTACATATAATTGTAAAGCAATACATGATTGTCACTAAAAGCCTTGTCTCTACATTACAATAAAATATACAAAAATAATTGATTAATTCATTTGAATAAAAATTCAAGTTAGTAGCTAATAAAGGCATAAAAAGACAGAAATGTATCATTCTTTCTTCAATA